ACCTTAGTCCTCAAACTGACATCTTTGCTCTTCAACACTTCAAAGTGGTCTTGTACAACAGACTGCCTAATGCAACACGTCATTTGATTTCTTGACTGCTGCTTCCATGAGTGTTGATAGTGCATCCAAGCAAAATGAAGTCTTTGACAACTTCAATCTTTTCTCCATTTACTAGTAGATATTATTTATTGGTCCAATGATGAGGATTGTTTTATGTTGAGGGGCAACCCATACCAAAGGCTGTAGTCTTTGATCTTTGTCAAAGTATTTTAAATCTTTGCTTTTAGCAAGAAAGGTTGTTTCATCTGCATTTCAAATGTTGTTGATGAGTCTTACTCTAATCCTGATGCCACATTCTTCTTAATATAATCCAGTTTCTCACATTATTTGCTCAGCATACAGACTGAATAAGTATGGTGAAAGAATAGAACCCTGGTGCACACCTTTCCTAATTTAAAAACATTCAGTGTTCCCTTGTTCTGTTTGAAAAACTGTCTATGTACAGGTTACTCATGAGCACAATTAAGTGTTCAGGAATACTTCTATTTTGTAAATGTTGTCCACAGCTTGTCATGAGACACAGCCAAATGCATTTGCAAAGTCAATAAAGCACAGTTAAATATCTTTCTGTTATTCTCTGCTTTCAGCCAACATACATAGGACATCATCAATATTCCTCATCTTATGTCTTTGTCTGAATCTGGCTTGAATCTCTAGCAATTATCTGTCAATGAACTGTTATAACCGTTTTTGAATCATATTTAGCCAAATTTTACTCGCATGGGATATTAATGATATTCTCTGAAGATATCCACATTCTGTTGGGTCACCTCTCTTTGGAAGGCGCAAACATATGGATCTCTTTCAATCATTTGGCTAAATTTCTTGGTGCAGATGAGTGAGTGCTGCCAGTGCTACATCGGTTTGTTGAAAGATTTCAATCTGTATTCCATCAATTCCCGGAACCTTGTTCTTTGCCAGTGCCTTCAGTGCATCTTGAACTTCTTTGGTACTACTGGCTACCTCTTGAAATGGCTGAACACTGACCATTTATTTTTGTTACAGAAAATTTGTGTATTCCTACTACCTTCTTTTGATGCTTTGACATCAGTCAACATGTTGTCCATTGAATTGTTCAATACTGTAAGTCGAGGCTTGAAATTTTCTATACTTCTTTCAGCCTGAAAATTTCTAAGAAATATTTTTGATGTTCTAGCTACAGTTCTTTGCACATTTCATTATATTTGACTTTGTCTTCTCAAGCTACACTTTGAAAGTTTCTGTTTAGCTCTTTTACTTCCTCATTTATCCATTTGCTTTAACATTGCTATTCAGGATAGCAAATTTGAAAGTCTCTTCTGACATCCATTTTGGTCTTTTCCTTTTTTCTTGTCTTCTTAATGACCTTTTGCTTTCTTCCTGTATGATGTCCTTGATGTCATTCCACAACTCTTCTGATCTCTGGTCTTTAGTGTCTACTGTACCAAATCTGTTCTTGAGATGATCTCTAAATTCAGGTGAGAAATTTTCAAGTTCATATTTTAAAGGCTCATGTACCTGTTTTCATTTTCTTCAGCTTCACCCAAAATTTGCATAGAGCAATTGATGGTCTGTTCTACAGTATGTCCCTGGCCTTGTTTTGGCTGATGATATGCAGCTTTTCCAAGGCGTCTCATAACAGTCAATTTGACTTATGTGTATTTCATCTGGAAGGTCTGTATGTATAGTTGTGTTTTATGTTGTTTTAAAAGGTATTTGCAATGAAGAAGCAGACTTTCTATATAAGAAAGTGGTTGCTTTTTACTCCCTGTCAATGTTTTGTTGTTGTTAAAGTGCCTTTGAGTTTGTTCTGAACCATAGTGACCCTGTATGTGGTTTTCAAGGAGTGGCTGGTGTGCTTGAACCATTGACCTTGCGGTTCAAACTGACTTTGCACTCCAGCTCATTAATCCACAGCGCCACACCAGGACTCCCTCTCTGTCAATACTACCTAGATTATATCACTAGAATTACATTTCTTGCCCTTTCTCTTCTATCAATAGTACTTCAAACTTGACAGGTATCAAAAGAAAAAACTATATACAGCACAAGTCTTATAATGCTAAAATATTAGTATACTCTTTACATTTAACTATATATTTTTCTTGAATAACTTATAATTTGAAGAATAAATACTATTATTAATAACTTTACTACTTCCATATTTTAAATTAGCATTACACTTGTGCATGCACATGCTACTGTTATTGTGTGCCACCAAGTTGGTTCTGACTCATAGGGACTTTTATAGGGTTTTCGAGAAACAGCTGGTGAGTTTGAACCACTGTTCTTGTGGTTCTAACTGTCCTGGTGGTTCAGTGCTTATCCTATAGCACCACACCAGGACTCCATGCATGCACACAGCAAATGCAAAATATATTTTGTTGAATAAATTTAATATTATGTAAATCAGAATAACTATAGCAACTTAAAAATGTTTCCAATCATTCTACTGAATTAGATTTTGTTCTTTTCAAGGCTACTTGATTTAAGTTATTGGCTAGAATATGGGGGGGGGGGGTTTGTTTTTTGTTTTTTGTTTTTTACTTAAGACAAACTTTCCTCATCATGATTATTTATAAAAGGGTATGGCTTGCAGCAAACCACATTTCAAAATTTAAGGAATCAACTACATGGCTTTCACAGATCAGCTGCTTCCTCCAAGAGCTGGAACGTGGGCCAGAGATTCATCTCTACTTTCCCACCCATAAGTAACTGGAGCCCTGGTGGTGCAGTGGTCAAAGCACACAGCTGCTATCCCAAAAGTTTGTAGTTCAGACCCACCAGCCACTCCGTGGGGAAAAATATGGCAGCCTGATTCCATAAAAATTTAGTGAAATCCCCAAAATGAGAAGGCAAGTTTTGTAAAGTAATAAATTTTACAAAACCCATTTACTGCAGTTGATTTTGACTCTTAGTGACCCCACAGGACAGAGTAACTGATTCATAGGTTTTTCTAAGACTATAAATCATTATTGTCCAACCTACCAACCTTTTGGTTAGCAGTCTAATGCTTAACTCTCTGTGCTACCAGATCCCCTTCATTACGTTCTAGTATTCACTAGGTATCTGGTAACTCATGTCACACAAAAAGGTCTGAGAAAAAGTATGTTGGCACCTTAAGCATAAATTACATTCAACTCCTACAAAACATTTTATCAGGAATAAAACAGAAATTATATTTTAAACTCCTCATAAGGAACTCTACTAATTTTAATTTTTGTTTGTTTGTAATAGTTACAAATGATAAACTGTCAGTACACTTGCTTTATGATGGGCTTTACTAGGTTACAGCACTATATAATATTCTTGCCAAAAATGTTTCATCTGAATCTTATCATACGATGGAAAAATGTAAAATTCAAAAATAAGGGACATTAGATAAGACAAGTGACTTGGACCACTCAAAAATACTAATATCATGACTGACAATAAAGGGGGTAAAAGGGTAAGGAATTGTTCTTAACTAAATAATTCTAAAGAACTATGTATGAAGACCAAATGCAACGTGTGATCCTTAACTGGATCCTGGACTTATGAAAACAAGCAAACAAATCAACTCTAATGAACATTATTAAGAAAATTTTGGGAAATTTTAACATAGATTGTCTATAAAAATTTTACAAATATTTTAATTGCAAATGTATGCCTAGTGCCTATCACTGGTTTAAACATTATAAACAACCTGTATGATAAGTTAAAGGTCTCTCCCATTTATCTATAAAACTTTGTTTTACCCTCAAGTTTCAAAGAAATTTATGGTCCCAAGCCATTTATCCTCTTAATATGTATTAAGAGTTGGAAACTATTTTCATTAGATTATTTACAGCTCTTAACCACACTATACAAGCTGAATATACATTTAAAGCAAAAAGCAAAAACATCACATTCGAAACCCAAGAGCTCAGGTTTAAAAGTACCTGGATGAGAGACTCTCCCCAATGAAGACTTCATTGAGTGCTCGCACTGGCAAAAGTTGGGGTCCTGAAGCCACAGATCCTGCAGATAATGAAAACAATATCCAAAATAGTTCCTTGAATTTCAGAAATTTATATGTTATAAGATAATCAAACATGTTTTTGTTTTAGTAGAATCATATACTTTAATGTAAGAAACAAATTAGTTTTCACTTAAAATTCAAAATAGAAACAAAGTCACATATTTTCAAGAAACTTCTGACTCTTCGACATAAAACTTAATTCCTCTTAAAAAAAAAAAAAAAAAATACCCTTTCTTTTTTTAAGCCACGAGACCCAAAGAATAACTGAACAAAGTTGGCAGAAATGAAGAACAGTATTTCAAATTTTCATGGAATCCAGACTTTCTGTAGTCACTGGGCCTGGATGAACCCCAAATCTATCACCCTGAGATATTCTTTAAACCTTTAACTAAAAATATCCCAAGATGTGTTCTTTAAACCAAACAGTTTAGCTTAATTAGTAAAGAATGTTCTGCTTTGAGCATTGTGTTCTTTTAAAGAACTATCTAGATGGGATCAAACCGACAATAGTGGTAGTGGTGATGTGCCGTGGAGATGGTTCCAACTCATAATGACCCCGTACAGTGTTTCCAAGGCTGTAAATCTTTATAGGAGCAAAAAGTCTCATCTTTCTCCTGTGGAACAGCTGACAGCTTCAAACTGCTGACCTTCAGGTTATCAGCCAGAGTCTACCAGCAACTCAAAAGCTTAGGGAGCAGTGAGTTTATGTTACGAAGGGAGGAACAATTCCAAAAAGGAGGGTAAGAATAATTGTATTACTTGAAGAATGTAATTAATGTTAATGAGTTGTACATGGCAGAATTGTTGAGTTGGTGCATACACTGCTGTAAGTGTTTTCAACAAAAATAAAACCAATTATTTTTTTATTTTCTAATAAAAAAAGAATTTTCAATAGGCTTGGGGGCACTGAGTTTATGTCATAAGGGAAGGAAGAACAACTTAGAAAAGGAGGATGAGAACAGCTCTAAAATAAAAGCCAAAGGATGGGATCCATGGCACTGAAATGTACATGGAGAAACTATTGAATTGGTGTGTCTTCAGTGTACATGCTCAACAAGAATGTCAATTTCCAAGAAAAATAAAACATCCAACTCATTCAATTCTTGCTTAGTCTTCTCTGGACAAGCTTCAGAGATGGAAATGACAAGCATTTCCAAAGGACAACCATTTGGGATCTAAACAGCCAATTCCATGTATGATTTATATTGGAAACCCCATCATATATGTTGCTGCTCTTGTTGTGTGCAATCGAGTCAGTTCCAACTCACAGAGACCCTGTATAGGGTTTCCAAAAGCAACTGATGGGTTTGAACTGTTGATCTTGCATTTAAAGTCCAGTGCTTATCCTAAGTGCCACACCAGGGCTCATATATGTTAAAGAAAGTATATTTGTCTTTTAAAACAGAAATTACATTATGTTCAAGTATTTATATACATTAATCAGTATTTTCAGAATGGTGTCTATTTCATAGGTTTAAAAATACTAAAAAACTCATTAACCTGTTTTGATATAAAGAATAAATTATATTGGCTTAAATTTGCAGAGGTGTATTTGAAAGCAAAACAGCATTCACTCCAAAAGCAAGGATACCAAATAAATGTAAAAAATTAACCAGCGTTACAGTAAAAATTATTTTAAATTATTAAAATTTTTAATTTCTTACTTTTCTTTAGAAAAGCTAAATGTTGTTTGTCTTCCAATACTTCACAAAGTTAATGCAATTTGACTATGTTTCAAAAAGGTAAATAGCAAATTGTTATAAAGTAATAAAACAGCTAACCATTCTTTTTCCTAAGTGACTGAAAAAGAAAAATGAAACAACAGAGTCTGATAGTTACTGTTGCAAGGTGTCCTGGAGTCCCTTCCGATTCATAGCAACCCTGTGCATAGCAGAACAAAAACTGCCAGGCCTTGTGTCATCCTCATAATTGTCACATCTGGTGCTGCCACTGTGTCAGTCGATCTTATTGGGGGTGTTCCTTTTTATCTCAGACCCTTCACTTTACCAAGCATGATTTCCTTTTCCAGGGACTGGTGGTCCCTCCTGATATGTCTTAAGTATGAGAGATGAAGTCTCACCATCCTCGCTTTTGATAGAGAATTCCAGAATTAGTGGGATTATGAATTCAACAAGTACATTATTCTCAAGCCCAGAAGATTACAGAAGTCTGCACTGTAGTACTTGTTATTGTTAAGTGCTATGGAGTCAGTCCCGATTCATAGTGACCCTGCATAGGGAATTCTGGAGTGGTTGGTGGATCTGAACTACCGACATTGCAGTTAACAGTCCAGTGCTTATCCTATAGTACCACACAAGAACACCTACCGTAGTACTAGGCACTTAATAATGGCAGGTGAATAATTAAATCATCTACACAAAAAATTCTGAGAATTATCTTGTCACGTAGGTATTTTCTAATACTTTTATGGGTTCATATTTTACATTTCACTCTTTTTATCTATGAAATTTATTTTGGAGAAGAAATTATAAAGAAGGGATTTAATTTTTTTTTTTCCAAGTAATTGGCCAGTATTCCACCACCATTTGCAGACAATCTATCCTTTCCTTCATTGATTTGAAATGCTACTATTTATCACATACTAAATTCTTATATACAAAAACTTTGATCTATTTCTGTTAAAAGTTGGTGGCAGGTTTAAACTGCTGTAGTTTGTAAAGCATTGTGTCTGAATATCTCCTCACCACACACACTCTTCCTCCTTCACAGCTAAAAATAACCTACAATATACCGTCCTGTCCTAACTCCTTAGCGTGGCATCTATGATACAGTCCAGATCTCTTTCTAGCCGCTAGACAGATATTTGTAACTTTGAGGCAACAGTTTTTACAGTCTAAAGTGTTTTCTCTATTCTATGTTTATGGAAATTCCATTCATGCTCTAAATCCAATGCAAAACCTAACTTTTTGTTCTCTGAGCCCCTTAGAGATCAAGTACACACACCTCTTTCCATAATCTCAAAAAACCCACTGCCATCGAGTCGATCCCAATTCTGATGGACAGTAGCTCTGTAGAACAGAGTAGAACTTCCCAAGGTGCTGCAATCTTTATGGACACAGACTGCCAGATTTTCCTCTCTCAGAGCCACTGGTGACTTTGAACTGCTAACCTTTTGGTTAACAATTAAACATTTAACTACTACTTCACCTTACCTAAGAAAACCACAAACCCATGGTCATTGTATCCATTTGGAGTCACACTGACCCTAAACAGCAAAGCAAAACTACCTTATAGGGTTTCACAGGCTGTACATCTTAATAGAAGCAGACTGTCACATCTTTCTTCCATGGAGCAGCTGGTGGGTTTGAACTGTTGACAGTACAGTTAACCACTGCTTCACCTGGGTTCCTTCGTTATACCCATGTCATCGTTGTTGTTAAGCACCATCAGATCAGTTCCTACTCACAGCAACCCTATCTATGCACAACAAAACAAAACACTGCTGAGTCCTGCACCATCCTCACAACTGTTACATTTGAGCCCACTGCTGTCTCTGTGTCAACCCATCTTATTGGAAGGCTTCCTCTTTTTCACTGACCCTCCATCTAACTAAGCAAGATGTCCTTCTCCAGGGTGTAGTCCCTTCTGTTAACATGCCCACGGTATGAGAGACAAAGTCTCATCATTCTTTGCTTCTGAGGAGAATTCTGGCTGCATTTCTTACAAGACAAATTTGTTTGTTCTTCTTGTACTCCATCGTGTTTTCAGTATTATCTCCAAAAACATAATTCAAATGCATCAATTCTTTTATGGTCTTCATTATTCATTGTCCAAGTTCTGCATGCACTTGAGGAGACTGAAAATACCATGGCTTGGATCAGGGGCACCTTGTCCTCATTCTGCTTTTTAACATTTTAAAAGAGGTCATGTACAGATTTGCCTAATGCAATATATGGTTTGATTTCTTAATGGCTGCTTCCATGAGTGTTGATGGTTGAGCTGAGAAAAATGAC